CAGTTTTTGCTCCAAAGAGTCAAATCGCAAGCCCTGGCCCCTAAGATCTTGGGGTCGATTTGTGCTCCAAACAGTCAAATCGCAAGCCCTGGTCCCTAAGATTTTGGGCCCAGCTTTTGCTCCAAAGAGTAACATCGCAAGCCCTTGTCCCTAAGATTTTGGGCACAGTTTTTGCAGAGTCAAATCGCAAGCCCTGGTCCCTAAAATTTTGGTCATGTTTTGCTCCAAAGAGTGACATCGCAAGCCCTGGTCCCTAAGATCTTGGGCCCAGTTTTTGCTCCAAAGAGTCAAATCCAAGGCCTGGTCCCTAAGATTTTGGGTTCAAATTTTGCTCCGAAGAGTCAAATCGCAAGCCCTGGTCCCTAAGATTTGGGGCCCAGTTTTTGGTCCCTAAGATTCTGGGTTCATTTTTTGCTCCAAAGAGAGTGACATCGCAAGCCCTGGTCCCTAAGATCTTGGGCCCAGTTTTTGCTCCAAAGAGTCAAATCGCAAGCCCTGGTCCCTAAGATTTTGGGTTTAATTTTTGCTCCAAAGAGTCAAATCGCAAGCCCTGGTCCCTAAGATTTTGGGCCCAGTTTTTGCTCCAAAGAGTCAAATCGCAAGCCCTGGTCCTTAAGATGTTGGGCGCATTTTTTGCTCCAAAGAGTAGCGTCGCAAGCCCTGGTCCCTAAGATTTTGGGCCCAGTTTTTGCCAAAAGGTCAAATCGCAAGCCCTGGTCCCTAAGATTTTGGCTTCAATTTTTGCTCGAAAGAGTAACATCGCAAGCCCTGGTCCCCAAGAATTTTGGGCCCAGTTTTTGCTCCAAAGAGTCAAATCGCAAGCCCTGGTCCCTAAGTTTTTGGGCCCATTTTTTTCTCCAAAGAGTCAAATCGCAAGCCCTGGTCCTTAAGATTTTGGGTTCATTTTTTGCTCCAAAGAGTAGCGTCGCAAGCCCTGGTCCCTAAGATTTTGGGCCCAGTTTTTGCTCCAAAGAGTCACATCGCAAGCCCTGGTCCCTAAGATTTTGGGTTCAATTTTTGCTCCAAAGAGTAACGTCGCAAGCCTGGTCCCTAAGATTCTGGGCTCATTTTTTGCGCCAAAGAGTAAAATCCCTAAGATTTTGGGTCAGTTTTTGCTCCAAAGAGGCCAATGGCAAGCCCTGGTCCCTAAGATTTCGGGGTCGATCTGTGCGCCACAGAGTCAAAGTGCAAGCCCTGGTCCCTAAGATTTCGGGGTCGATTTGTGCTCCACGGAGTCAAATCGCAAGCCCTGGTCCCTAAAATTTTGGGCCCAGTTTTTGCCCCAAAAGGTGAAATCGCAAGCCCTGCTCCCTAAGATTTTGGGCTCATTGCTTGCTCCAAAGGGTAACATCGCAAGCCCTGGTCCCCAAGATTTTGGAATCGATTTTTGCTCCAAAGAGTCAGATCGCAAGCCCTGGTCCCTAAAATGTTGGGCTCAATTTTTGCCTTTCCCTTCTCTTCTTCTGCTTCCTTTGAACTGATAAAACACAAGAAAGGAACTCATATGATAAAGCAGTGGAAGGGAAAGGGGGGTGACTCCCTGCGCGTGGACCTTTCCATAATACTCCATCATATTCCTCCTCTCGGCCTATCTCTTCTGTTCCTTTCCTCACCCTTCTCCTTCTCATACTTCTTCCTATTTGTTTTTCTCATTTCGAAAAGAAAGAGGGAAGGGAGAAACAAGGGAGAGAGAATAGATAAGGAAGAGTGCCATCTTCTTTGCGTCTTGTTTTGTCTCTCTCTCTCTCTCTCTCTCTCTCTCTCTTCTCTATTCATCTGTCTTCTATTCTTTTCTTTGCTCTTCCCATTAACAATGCAATCCTTGGTATCTCTCCTCTCTCCTTCTCTCTTCCTGCAACAGATGTCCTTTTGGATCGTTTTCTGCATCTTCAAGCGAGAAAAAGGGACACCCAAAAGCACTGAGGGTGCCCCCTTTGCGCGTTTGAAGACACAGAAGGCGATTAAAAGGGACGCCCATGTTGGATTGGCAGCAAACCCAGCTGATGCTCATGATTCTCTCTCTCTCTCTCTCTCTCTCTCTCTCTCTCTCTCTCTCTCTCTCTCTCTCTCTCTCTCTCTCTCTCTCGATCCCTACATATGGGCGATGGAACGGGTGTCCTTTTCAATCGTTTTCTGCATCTTCAAGAGAAAAACGGACACCCCACAAGAAGGAAAAGTAACATAAGAGATAGGGAGGGAAATTGACCCTTTCCTCTCTTCTTATCTGCTATTTTTCTTATTCGCTTCAAAAAAGCAACATAAGGGAAAGGGGATTTCCTGAAGAGGAGAGAGGGAACCTATCTGTGAAAAGCAAGAATGGTTTTTTCTAGTTCGAAAGGGAATAGGGAGAGACAAGGGAGAGATGATATGTACAGCTTTGCGCCTCATTTTGTGATTCCGTCTCCTTGCTTCCTGTCTCTTCTATTCCATGCAGCACGCTTCGAGAAACATAGCATCCTTGTTATCTTTCCTCTCTCACTTCCCTTTCCCTTCTCTTCTTCTGCTTCCTTTGAACTGTTAAAAACACAAGAAAGGAACTCATATGATAAAGCAGTGGAAAGGTAAGCAGAGGGTGACTCCTTGCGCGTGGACCTTTCCATAATGCTCCATCATATTCCTCCTCTCGGCCTGTCTCTTCTGTTCCTTTCCTTACTCTTCTCCTTCTCATAGTTCTTCCTTTTTGTTTTTCTCATTTCGAAAAGAAAGAGGGAAGGGAGAAACAAGGGAGAGAGAATAGATAACGAAGAGTGCCATCTTCTCTGCGCCTTGTTTTGTCTCTCCCTCTTCTCTATTCATCTGTCTTCCATTCTTTTCTTTGCTCTTCCCATTAAATATGCAATCCTTGATATCTCTCCTCTCCTTCTCTCTTCCTGCAACAGATGTGCTTTTCGGTCGTTTTCTGCATCTTCAAGCGAGAAAAAAGGACACAGAATGCGATTAAAATGGACGCCCATGTTGGATTGGCAGCAAGCCCAGCTGATGCTCATGATTCTCTCTCTTTCCCTACATATGGGCGATGGAACGGGTGTACTTTTCAATCGTTTTCTGCATCTTCAAGAGAAGAAGGGACACCCCACAAGAAGGAAAAGTAACATAAGAGATAGGGAGGGAAATTGAAGACCTCCTCATTTTACTTAGTCATTCCCTTTCCTCTCTTCTTGTCTGCCCATTTTCTGTGCGCCTTGTTTTGTCTCTCCCTCTTCTCCCTTCATCTCTCTTCTAGTCTTTTCTTTGCTCTTCCCATTGAAATGCAACCCTTTTTATCTCTCCTCTCTCCTTCTCTCTCCCTCCTCTTCTCCTGTTCCCCTCTAAACGACAAAAACGCAAGAAAGGAAGAATAAGAGGGAATGGAGGCCCTGTTCCTTTCTTCTCCTCTTTCAATGGATGGGGGAAGTGGGCGGAGTTGGCTCCTTGCCCGTACACCCTCCCCATGCTTCAGCAAACCCCTCCTCTCGCCCTATCGCCTCTGTTCTTTTCCTTGTGCCCAAACGGAAAACGAAAACGGGTTCCTTTAGATGTTCATTGTCCTTCCTTTGGTTTTTATTTCACAGGGAAAAGAACCAGAGAAGAGAAAGATAAGAACGAGAGGTGAGATGAAAACGGCACCATCTTCTCTTTGCCCTTTTTTTGCACCTCCCTCTCCTGTCTTCATTTCTCTTCCACTCTTTTTTTCCATTGCTCTTCCCATAATATTGCATTCCTTTTGATAACTCACAGGAAATTAAAATGGCCTCCTTGTTGTCTCTCCTCTCTCACTTCCCTTTCCCTTCTCTCCTTCTGTTTCCTTTTAACTTTAGCTGATAAAACACAAGAAAGGAGCTTGTAAAATCAAGCAGTGGAAGGGTAAGCAGAAGGTGACTCCTTGTGCGTGGACCTTTGCCGTACTTCATCATACCCCTCTTTTCGGCCTATCTCTTCGGCTCTTTTCCTAACCCTTCTTCTTTTCATTTTTCTTTTTGTTTTTCTCATTTCGAAAAGACAGAGGGAACGGAGAGATAAGAGAGACAGGATAGATAAAGCAGAGTACCATCTTCTTTGTGCCTTGTTTTGTCTCTCCCTCTCCTTTATTCATCTCTCTTCTATTCTTTTCTTGGCTCTTCCCATCTCCCTCCTTCTCTCCCTTCTCTTCTCCTGTTCACGAGAGCCTTCGACTTTAGGGTTGAGGAGAAAAAGAGAAGAGAAAAGAGGAACTACCTGGTTCTTGTTCCTGAGGCCACCATAGTACGACTGACGTGACAGCAGCGTACCCTCGTGGAAACGTGTATGGCTGTAAGAAAACTCGAGTCCCAGCTTCCAAATAGACCCTATTTAAGCCACCCACGCCCTCCCTCCCCCCTCTCCTCTATCTTCTCATAGAAAATGGAAATGAACCGTGTCCTCTTTCTTTTAATGCAGAATGCGAGAGCTCCTCTCTCTCTCTCTCTCTCTCTCTCTCTCTCTCTCTCTCTCTCTCTCTCTCTCTCTCTCTCCTAATGGGACATGCAAGTCCTCCTGTATTTTGTTTTCAATGAAAGATCTCTTGGGGCTTCGGTTCAGTGAACAATTATCTCAATCAATGACGAAGTCCGTAACTTCTAGCGTGTATGTTGTTGCTTAGGAACAAATATAAATGAAGCATTTTGCTTTGTTTTTTAAATACTACACATGCAAACTAAGCAAAAAGAACCCTAAAGGTATCAGCCACATATATATATATATATACACATGTAGTATGTATGTGTATATACATATATGTATAAGCATATATATATATATATACAAACACATATGTGTGTGTGTGTGTGTGTATGTGTATATATATATATGTATACACATATTTGTACAAAACATATGTATATATACACACACACGCATATATTTTTATATACATAAATATAGACACACAAATATACATAGTTCAATTTATATGTATGTATATATATATATATATATATATGTATATATATATATATGTATATAGGTATGCATCGGCGCGTATAGGTGTATACATGTACGCACAGGCATTGCAGTCGCTTCAGATGTTGCAGCACGAGCCCCAGAAAATGGTGACATGAACCCCAGGCACTCGGCCTCCAACCTCTCGGAACCCCAAGCTCAAAGACCCCAGGCTGAGGTAAGAGAGGCCTTGGGGTGTGCCAGGGATCATATGTCCTCATGTGGGTGGGCTCTTCCAGTAGCTCTTTTTGGGGTTGCTGCGGATTTTCTTAAGTTTCAGAGTGGCGCAGCCTCCAGACATCATCCCTTCCCAGCCCCCCAGATGTGCGAGTTGTCCGCGTTGTTCCCCAGCCAAGCCAAAGCGTCCCCAGAAGCATTCAACTCACTTCCGCTTTTGCTTCTTGAAGGGCACGGGTTCCGACTTTGAAGAGGGCCCCGGAGTAGTTGAAGTACAGCATGCAATGATCTAGTAAAAGGAACCTCGAACCCTGGAGCCTGGAGCCTTGCCCCGAATCCCTGAACCTCTGAGCCTGGAAAGTCCCGTGGTGCACGCCCTCTTTGTGTGTTAGAAACTCACCAGTAGGGAAATAAAGGGGGTACCCTTGTGCGCATTCACCTGCAAGTTTTTTTCCTAGGCAGCAGCAGCAGCTCCAGATGTTGCAGCTGCAGCAGGTGCAGCAGCTGCTCACAGGCACCTGTGGGCTCCGGTTCAAGGGGGGTTTCGCAAATTCATGCGGGCCTGGGGTTCAGGGTCAGGGGAGTCGGGGCTGGAAGGCCGAGAAGGTTGCAGTCCAGACCGAAGGGTCGGGGTGTGGGACCACGTCGGGGGCTCGTGCTTCCTAACCTAACACTCCCTCACCAGGAAGCCTGCTCAACGGCGGCCTTGGGGGTGGGCTCTGTGGCGGGCTTGTGGGCCTCATGCCGGGTGCCCAAGATGGAGATGCCGGTGTCTGTGCAAATCCAGGGCGAATGCGTTTTGGCATAAAAATCCACAACCTTTTCTTAGCCTTGGCTTCCAAGAGCTACTCGGGCCTGTACACCCTGCGGGGTGAGGGAGTTAAGGGTTTAAAGGTTGCGGGCCCTCAGCCCCTAACGACCCCAACGGCTGGCAAACGTCTGTGTTGATGTCCCTGAGCCGACCAGCCTTTACATTCTGCCAACCTGTAATAGACAAAGGCGATGTCACTGGAAAACCAACCAGCACACCCCAAACGGCCTGTCCGAACCTGCCTCACCAGACAAAAGCTGCGGCATGCGTCGTAACACCATGACATCGCGATGTCGCCAACTGGCCTGCTGAACACCCCAGCACACTTGTGCAAATCCGCTTAGAGCTTCGCAAGCCCTGATCCTCTCGAGGGTGGATTAGTTTCCAGCAGTGTAGCTTTCAGGGTCCTGTGTGATTTGGCGTTTTCGTGGTTTGGGATTGAGAGAGCTGTTTAGCAGGGGCAATGCTTTGCAGAACTGAGGCCGCTGCAGGCGTCTCCCCCTGCCGCCCACACCTCGGCTTTGATACAACACATTGAGTTCAACGAAGATGCTTGTGAGACCTATTCATTGTTGCAACACAGGTGGTGCTGGCTGAAAGCTTACGTAGCTGTAGTGGTCTTCTCCCTCCGACCACATGGTGCTGTCGCCATGCCCCACCCGGAGGCATCGAACCTGTCCAACGAGATGCTGGCAAATCTCCTCATGGCCTGGTACTACTCAGGGTGCCCGCCAGGGTCCTGCGTTTCATCACACATCACGTACAGTGCACACCTTGGATCTCTTATGTGACCCTACAACATTCCCTTCAGTCTTGAGTCTTTACCTGCAGAGCATTGATGAGCATTGTGTGTAGTCTCGCCATCATGTTCCGTTTTCCCGATGTGGAGTGTGCAGTATCCAAGCCCCAGTCCCGGGAGTCCCGGGTCGGAGTGTGGGAGTGAGCTTGAGATAGCTCGAAGGTGCCTGGGATAGTAGATGCATTCGCTGCGCTCCAGGAGGAAGGTGTAAAGGAACCTTGATCATACAGCAACAGACGAGTGAGATCAAGAGCATCAGCATGAAGCTGGACGAGCTCGCAAGAAGGCTAAAGTTGAGATGATTCTTGCTCTGGTTGGGTACACCAGTAACCTGGAGAGGAGCTGCGGTGCCCGAATCACTACCTGAACATGGTGAAGCCCTCTCTGGCAGGTGTGGAGCACGTGCATTGGTTCGACAATGGGCCTGTAGATGAGGAATCAGGAATCTGAGGACCCATAAGTTGATGCACCTTTGCCACTCCGAACTCCTCTTCAAGTCGGAGGAACACAGAGGTCTACTTTGAAGAGGCCTTTCCCTTGCTCCCGCGGCTCCTCGAGCAAGGCCTGCTGACGACCACGCCATGAGACAGAGGTTGAACATGAAAGTCTTTGACGCAACGCCTGTTTCGATCCACTATGCCGACGAGGAGGAGGAGGAGGGGGAGGGGGAGGAGGAAGAGGGGGGGGGAGGAGGAGATTGTGTCAAGTCAGTATGGCAGCATCCTGGTACAACCTTCAGAGCTGACAACGTAGTTGTTACAAGGACACTACGGCCAATGGAGAGAAAGGGCTCAACTCATATGAGAACACCCTTTTGGCAAAGCACCGCTTCGGTGTGTTAAGATTTGCGTGGTCTGTCAGTTCCAAGCTGTCCAATCCTTCGGCAGAAAGTGTAGTTTTTTTTTTTGTTGTGCTTTTGGGGTTGGGGAGCTGGAAAAACTCGCCTGATCTCGCCTGCCACTCCTGTGGCCGGCCAGGTACTACACGGGCGAGTATGCGGCCAAGCAGGGCCACCGCTGAGTTAACCAGGGATGGCCTGTTGAAAAATTGAAAGCGGAGCGGTTAGCTTGTACTAACCCCAAACTTCCAAAAGGTCGGGAGCGTCAGGAATTAGGAGTTGGGGGGATGGAGATTCACCTTTACGATATCAGACTTCGCCGCTTGTAGCTTTAGCGTCTTGGTCAGTGCGTCAGAGAGCAGCAATACATCAGTATCTTACCTCGAAAGCTGAAGCCGCAACCCTGCCGATTTTTGTAGCACAGGAGCGGCGAGTAGTCCAGATCAATTTTGAGCCCGATTGCTGCGCAGCCCTTTCCCCCCTCCGTTCGCACAAAACCACGCAATGAATGCATTAAAGTATGCGTATATGTAACTACATGATGGAGCCGAACTATGCGCATTCTACGCAGCTGTCTATGTAGAAGTGTATATATATATATATACACTTGTCAATGTTTGTGTCTACATGAATGAGCAGTAGCAGAGACAACCATGAACATAATCAGAACAATAGCACGGACGTTCAACATGGGCAGCAGAACGCCTGGACTTGCGGCTCCTGCCCCCGCTGATGTTATCTTGGCTGAAGGAGACATTGGTAGCCGCATTGTAGGCAGTGTCAGCTGTGAGGATGCGCGTTGAGTTGTCAAGTCCGCAATGTTCATGGCAATGAACACAGCGAACACCTCCCTCCTTCGTGATGGAACTTTCAAATGTGCTTCATGTGTCCTGCTGGACCCTGTAGCGCTGGACCGGGGCGACTGGGTTTGGGATCCACGGTAGGGTTGCGGGACTCCATGCTCGAGAGGTGGGTGTAGCGCGGGGGCATATAGGCATAGGGTTCGGGACCTTTATCCAAGCGCCGCCATGGCATCACTTCAAGTCCAGATGGAGGCCTTACATGGTGGTTCCATCCGTTCCATCCCCCCCAGGCTGTTTGGAACTTGGGGGTGGAGAGGCCACAGTTCCGTACAGCACATCCCCTGGCGTAGCCACCCGAAGCAACCCACCTTGGCCTCAGGACTCAAACTTTAGAGGCCCCAGTACCCTGGTGCTCCTTTGCCAGTCAATAAGAGGGCTTTCAGTAGATGTAGGACCTCTTTGGGCCTTCGCTTTCAGTACTCCAGTGGTTTAGGGTTTGGGGTTTACGGGTCTGATGCCCTGCGAGACCTAAACCGTGCTAGCAACCCCCCCCCCCCTCCCCCCCGACAGTTGAAGTTCAGGAGGCCTACGTCTTCGTCATATGGAGGGGGCCAAGCGTAACAGCTTTCCAAGGACCGCTCCAAAACATGAAACAAAAAGCCGTAAGCCCCAAGCCGGCACGGTCACGGGGCTCAGGAGTTTCGGTTCTATGCAGGTCTATTCGGCACCCAGTATGCAAAAGTGGCCACGTAGGAGCTCGCAGTCCCGGGAGCCAAGTGCCGCTTCAACTGAGTGAAGAACATGCTTAGGACTTAGGCAGACAAAGTGTTGGATCATGTTGTGGGATCTGGTCGGCTCAAGCTGTGTGTGGTGATCGCCCGGGTGCTCTGGACCGGCTGTGCAATCCGTCGAAGGCGAGTCCCCAGCTGTGTAATGCACGCAGTGTGATCCAATTAATGAATTATTTAGTGCCGTGGGGCTGGACGAAGTCTGCTCCCTTGTAGAGTCGAAGCTTGCACGTTCAAGCGAAGTTTGAGACGTGCCTAGTCCCAGCATGGAGTGCAAGACAGGGGCCTTCCAAAGACGCGCGGAGCACGCATGTGCCAAACCCGCATCTCTACTCTATACAGCAGTTGATCAGTCAGGACAGTCGACAGCGCTCGCCGAAAACATGCGGCCTCAGCAGAGATGTGTGCTTGGCCATCGCAACCTGGTCCTTGCATGGAGTGCAGGACAGGAATCTTCCAAACGGAGACAGATGGTGCCATAATTGGCCCTCCCATCACGAACCTCGTTGTGTCCCATGGCTGAGCGATCAGGACGCGCGAAAGCGTTGCGCAAAAAACAGGTAGCCCATGGCCAAACAGAGACACGAAGCTTGAAGCGTAGCTCCAGCAGGGTGACGCTGTCTCGAAGTATTGGGGGCCCAGGCAGAGGTTCACCACAGCTTCATTTGACGGGACGCGGCTGTGCTACGTGGAGTCCCAAACCCCAAAGAACCCGATGTAGGATTCAGGACAGCTTTCTCAAAGGAGCATCAACCCACAAAGCCGAAAGGCAGGAAGAGAGCTGCAGAAGTTGCGAGAGAAGTGAGATTGCATGTGTTGCATGTGAGAGGCATATGCATTCCGACAGCTCCTGGAGCACTTGCAGTGGCGCAGCGATGCCGGGAGACCCTGCTTTCAAGCCCTGAGAGGTGCTCCCTGCAAAGGGTGCCCTGAGAGGTGCCCCCGCCCTCTGGGCTTAGAGGCTTGCGTTTTTAACTCAAAAGGTTTGGGCGTCGCCTTAAATGATCCAATCGTTTCGCTTGAAGTTGCACTTTTGCCGTTTTGGACAAAGCACCCTCTTCTGCCCGACCTCCCCCTCCTACAATTCACCCCTCCACAAACAACAGCCCCCAAAAACAACATACCGGGGGTTATCTTCCCTTTTGCGTTTTTGTGTTGTTTCCTTGGAGGCCCGCGGAGGGTTCCCATAGCAGGTGCAAAACATCGACCTCATGAACTTGGCCGGATTCTGCAGGAACTGCCTCTCCAAGTGGTGCTCCTGGTGAGTGAAGCTTCGGGTGTGGGATTTCCCCCAAAACCCCTAAAACCAACCACAAAACCAACCCCCGACGCATGCGGAGTGCAAAGATCGCGCGCGCACGTAGCTCGATGGTCCACAAGCTTTGCGGCTAGTTGAGCCTTGCCCGAAAACACGGAAAGCCTTTCTTAAACCCTGGATGCGCCGCAACTTCTGCTGGCACAGGCGGCCTCAACAGTAATGGGGGCGAAACTCTCACTTCAAAGCACAAGGTTCCACAGCGAAGCCAGTCGCCGTTTAGCCGAAGCCCTTCCTTGCAGGTACCACGCAGGGGCCAAGGCGTGGTGTTCTGAGGTTGAAAAGGTTTAGGCCATTGGGGCTCCTGAGGGTTTTGTTGTTGTCTTCAGCCCCCGCCCCAATTCGTGAATACCTTTATAAAGCCTTTAGACTCTTCCCAGCAGCTGCTTTTGAGAGCTTCTGGGCGCGGCATTGGGGATGCTGGTGCGTAGGGTTAACGTCCAGAGCTCGCCCTTCCCAGGAATATCTGAACTGTAGGGCACTGGGCTGAGAGGAGGGTTCGCTTTCAGAAGTCCAGCATGTGTGCGCAAACTGGGCCGAGGAGTTGCTGTATAGAGCTTGAAATTTCCTAACTCCTGCATGCATTCAGCCGCTATATCTGTGGGGTGTTGGCCCACGCAGTTGATGGAAGCACTCTGTGGCAGCAAGCCACACAGGGCCGGTCACTTACTGAACCTAACCCGAACCAAGGAAACAAAAACGGATGTTGCATGTCGCTGGCTTCGCAAGGGAGGGGGGGGGGTGGGGTGGCGCCTGGGGCTTCAGGTGACGGCTTTATGGAGGGTGTGCAAGATGAGTATCCTGAAACAAAACACAGCAATGCACGAGATAAGTTGGGCCAGGTTTATGGCGTTCCCATGGAGTACGAGGCCTGAGTGTCGAGAGCAAGCCGTGGCTTTGAGATTCTCTTCTCCTCTCCTCTCCTCCCCTCTCCCCTCCTCTCATCGTCTCTGAGATTCTCTTCTCTTCGTTCGCTCCCTCACTCGCTCTCTCCCTCTTCTCCCTCTCTTCTCCCTCTCTTCTCCCTCTCTTCTCCCTCTCTTCTCCCTCTTCTCCTTCTTCTCCCTCTCTTCTCCCTCTTCTCCCTCTTCTCCCTCTCTCCCTCTCTGCCTTTACCCCCTCGATGGCACAAAACAGCGGCACAACTGGGCAAAGGCCAATGTGTCTCTCAAGGGCCAGTGCCTTTGTTTTATGAATATCATCTCTCTTTTTTGGGGCCGGGGGGGGGGGTGTTGAGGTTTGAGGGGTTGTCTCTCTTTATACGCGCATGAGCAAAGGAGGCGTGCAACTTCGCCACGGCCTCGGTATGGGTCGGGGGCAACTGGATAGACCCGCAGGCCTTATCGAATCTTCCAGAAAGTCCGTGCCAGTTTTCTCTCAGATGACGGGTCATCTCAAGTTTATGAGTGATGGAGTAGTTCCTGACCCACGGAACTGTAGCTCAGTATCTCGGCAGCAGCTGGGTTTTCAGAAGGCCTCCGCTTCACGGCCCTTAAACCCCCTAAACCCAAGGGGTGCCACAGAGGTAGGTTCTCAGCATGGTTTTGGGGTCTTCGGGAGATAGGCCGTGCAGTAGGATGATTCAGAGTTTGGCTTGACGGCCTTGCGCCATCCTCAACTCACATGTTGGTTGTTCATTGAGGTGGTGTAAACTCATAGTAACTCATGAAGTACACGCAAAGCTACTCTGGTCCGTTTCGTCCGAGACCATGTAGGAAAGTATCCCCGCTGCTATACCAGCCAGCGATGGCCCAATGTTCTGAAACTCTGACGCCCCGAAGAGGAAATGGAATCATGGCGTTGGGGCTTGAAGGCTGCGCCCCATTTACGCCTAGCAGGCTTTGTTTGTTGCTGGTCAAAGGGTTTGGGGGGAGGGCTTGTGGCATGTCCGCCCAAGGTCTACGGCCAGCCGTATGCAGACTGGAAGAAAGTGCACCAAAAGAAAGCCTCCCAGGACGGTGGACACTTCTTGTTTCAGAGGGCCGTGTCAGTGTCTCCGGCGGGTTTATGCCGATCCTACGTAGGGCGTTGGGACAGGTGCCCTGAGAAGGACGCACAGTGGCTGGAGGAACTGGAACTCATAGGGCATGGCCGCATGGTGCATGGGGTTCGGCGCTGGAGCTAGTGGCCCTGGCGACCATGCCAGAACTTATTTTTCCCGTCACCCTCTCCCCCAGGAGCAGCTTACGGTGTTCGAGTCCTCCAAGGCCGAAGTCGAGTTTTGTCGGATCAACGTTTTTTCTTACAGTTGTTCCTCTCCTACTGCTCAAGGGCTTTGAGGACTTGAGGGCTTTTAGAGCCTCCGGTTGAGCTTAGAGATCGCAGCTTCTAGGCTCTTGCTTTCGCTAGGTTTGGGACCCTTTGGTGTCTGTTTGTCTTCCAGCCCAGCCTTAGTATGGACGCGTTTCCATGTGTGAGAGGGCTCTGAAGTATGGGCCCTTGGGTTGTATCGGGTATCAAAGGGGTGGGGCTTCCCAATTCAGGGCCCATACTAAGAGGCCCTTGTAACTACCCTTTCATAATTTCCGAGATGTTTGATTCATTAGTTTCAGAAAGCTTCCTCGAAATCGTTCAAGCTCCTGCCCAGGGTAGTCCTACATATGAGAACTCCTCAAGGCTTCGACAATGCTTTCCACTTCCTCCACACCCGCTTCCTGTTTCGCAGTACGATTCCAGGAGATGCATGCAAAGACAGAGCCAAAGATTCTCCTGGCTGGCCAGGTGCTCGCGCACAAACGCTGAGTGTTACAATGCACGCCCTCAAGCCCCAAATCTGATGAGGCGACACGTCATTTTTTTCCGCAGAGGTTGCCTGGGGGTCTACGTTCGAGAGAGGGGGTTCAAGTCGCACAAGCGCTTCAGATTTACCACCTGGTACCCTGGCACACCGCGAGCCCTCTCGGTGGCAATCGCGTAGCTATAAGCGATTCTTCACCTGGAATCACCCCAAAGCTCCCACAAGCTGCATTGACCGCCTTGACCGCGTAGCTATATCTCGCCGCAGCTTGGATCCAGGCGCCTTTCTAAGAAAGGCGCCATGCAATATGCCGCAGATGCACATGATTCCTTCTCTCATCAACTCTGTCGATGCATGCTGCCGCAGGCCTAGCTGGCCACTAGGATTGGTGATTTGATGCCCTCTCATAAAAGAACCCTGGAACAGAAGAGGCCTCTCCCTCCTACACCCTCCTTCCCTCGCGAAATCCTTGCAGACATGAACGGATGCAACGCTCCACACTACAGTGCGAAAGAGACAGTACACAGAACAGATAGAACAGTTATCGCTGGAGCTGCTCCGGTATCGGCGCCGCCCTGATGACCCTGGTGGGCCAGGACCTGTGGCATTGGTATGGCAATACTCTTGTTTGTGAGAGGAAATCCTATTTGCTTCGCCCAACAGAGACTTGCTCATAGAATTGGGTTTGGGGCAGCGGGCTTAGAGGTTCAGATTTGCCCCAATGCCGAAAGCCTGAACTTCGGCTGTGCCTGTGCCCGGCAGGAGCACGGCGCACTGGCCCCACAGCCAGGGAAGCTGATAATGCGTCGGGGTGCCGCATGGCAGGCAAGCGGCTTTCACAACACTTCACAACTCTCAAGTCCTCAAGAAAAGGAGCTATCGAAGAGAACACGTGCCGAAACCGCAGGCAAGCTCTGGCGCAAAGCTTCGATTGTCGAAGCCGGTGCCGGTGCCGCGAACGCGCGGGGCCCCAGGAAAAGAACGGCTTGGCTTTACAGAGGATCGGGTGTGGTGTGTGGTATTTGGCCACCCCGACCTGCAACCAAAAGTTGCATCCTCGAGCTTAAAATAACATTTGGCACGTCGCTTTGCTTGCCTCGAGGACGGGGGAGGAGGCCCAGCGATCGATTTGTGTGGCCCAGGCTCGGACCCCGACAGTGTTTACCCCTCCGCCGGCCTCCCCCCGGAACAAAAAGGAGACATGCTTTCGAATCTTCGCGGAAGAATCAGTTTGCTCAAGGGGGGTCGACGCCAACCGGTCTTGGGCCCACTCTTCGCGAAGTGTGTTTTGGGCTGGCCGCTTGCCCGATCGGGTTGGGCCGGGCCGAGCCGGCTTTTCCAACCTCCGCATTCGGCATTCCCATGTATTCCCATGTCTCTTGTTGGGGGGTGGCTCGGGGCAAGAGACTTTGACGTCCAGCATGGCAGAGAGCCTTAGAGGGTTTAAGGACATTGCTTGGTGGGATCTTCCAGCGTTTGGGGAAGGCTACAGTGGCTACGGGTCAACCCGACCTTGGGAGTAGCGCCCCTCATAAGACCCGAGAAGCTGGGCACGTATCCAGGGTTTCGGGTTTTGGGATAGTTCAGGTTTCAGGGGGGGTCTATTTTAGGGTCCCTTATTGTCGTAAACCCCCGAATGTAACTACCGGATAGTAACCCTTTACCTCGAACGCTAGCCCCTTCAAACCTTCAAACCGCCAGCGGACACACTGAGATATTGCAAGGCCCTCGGACCACCCTGCCCAAGCCCCCGAAGAGGACCTTTTGTGAGTGTGAGGGGCCTTGCGGCATTTCTGGACTTCGACTTGGGGCAGCCACAGCACCGTAGCGGCTTTGGCGCCTTGATGTGGTTGAGGAGGGGTTTGGGAAGTCATGGGCCCCGGGCGGTATTTTTCTAGGGGACGTTCTGGAGCCCAGCAGAGCCGAGGTTCTCTAAGCATCCTGGGCCCTAAAGGGCTCTAGAATATCCCGAAGCCCTCTGTGCAGAGGAGGATCTCGGGCCACTCGCGCCCAAGGAGGCACCGACGTAGAAAAGCCTTCAAGTTGCCGGCTTGGGGTTTTCTGAGTTTTCTGACGTGGGGGCACCGGTTTGGGGGGTCTAGGGAAGATGTTCAAGCGGATGTGAAGTTCTTGTTGAGGTGGGAAGGATGGGGCTGGAACTGCCACAAGTCCACGTTGGAGTTCCTGCTTGAGCAGCCCAAAGTGCGGGGTAGGAGAGGAGAGCATTCGTACCGTAAGAACCCAACCCCCCAAACCCAAACACTCCCAGGAGCTGGGTTTCCGAAGGCTCAAGCTGACTCACTCCCATTCTTTATGCCCACTGAGGCCACCTTGAAACGTCACCCTGTTTCACGCCGCACCACATGCCACATGACTTGAAGCAAATGATCCCCTTGGAGGCTCCCCGGCCCGGCAAGCCCTCGCGGTCGCAGGGCTCCTGGGAGCCGAGCTTCCAGGCCTCTTTCCTTTTAGGCATCCCCTTTTGCACGTCCTCCTGGTTCCTTGTGCAGACATCAGAGAGCCCTGGTACAAAGAAAGAGTTCCCTTTGTCGGATGCCCCGAACAAGAAGGAGTGGGAGAGAGAAATGGGAGAAGCGCACGTTGTGAGTTCCCATGAGTTTTTACACTTCGGAGAGGCGGCGAAGGCATCCACAGGCTACCGGGCCCAGCGGCCTCCTGCAGGAGAGCGTTTTTCGTTTTAAGAAGGGTGGGCTTGATTTTAAACTTTGCTATTTTCTAAGCCCCAAAAGCTCACCTCAGTCCAGCTACTTCTGCCAGCTGCAGCCTCAAACCTCACTGGGCCCATGGCCGAAAATATCGCAGGAGCAGCGCCCTCACACCGGCCCGGCACCTTGGAGATCAGGCCCCCGCGTAAGGGAAGGTGAGGGAAAGCTTGGGCCTTCACGAACAACAAATCACCAAACGTGTGTGGTCCGACCCGCAGGAGAGCCGCAGGAGAGCCCAGAGAGCCCAGAGAGCCCAGCCTGTTTAACCCGGAGGTGGTGGACCTGACCCGTCTGGTCTGCCACAAGCCTGCCACAAGACCTCTAGCTTTGGTTCCGTTACGATCCCGCAAGGCGGTGGCAGTGGCCCACCGGGAATTCCAGCACTCCGGTGCGAGGCCGGGCCCGAGGTCAGAAGTTGTTTTGTTCTGTTCTGTTTTTGTTCGAGATCGGCTCTTAACTTCAGTTGAGGCGATTTGGTGTTTGGGCTTCTTCCGTGTGCTTCCTTTGGTTGTGTCTAGTGTGTTGTCTTGCTGCTTGTTTTTGCAGGAGTGAGGACGGTGGAGTGTGGAAGGTTGGGGTTTTGAAATCTGAACTCTTCTGCAGTGGAGGTGCTTGCCCCTGAGCCTGAACCGTCACCGCTACCATGACATCTTTGTGTGCTGCTGCCCCTGAAGCCCTCCCAGCAGCACCTTGACAGATCCAGCAAACCGTCGCAAAATAGTTTCCAATAGATCATCGACCCTCAGGCCTTACGTGCATTTAGGCTCGAGATTGCATGCGCAAAGTACAACATGACGGCCTTAAAGAGCTACAAAAGAGGTCCGGGTCCGCCGTTGCCGGGCACCTTGGCGTATGCCTCGGACAGTGGCCCTGAGGCTCCCGAGGAGGAGGGGTTCCGGATTTCCTCGCCTGGGCTCAGTTTTGGGTTTGGGCTTGAGCAGGGTCATGGGTACAGTGGTACAATTGACGACAACTGATGCGAACTTCTGCCATGACTTGTTTGGGGCACCCATGGACTTTCAATGACATCCCCTGCCGCCAGGAGCCTCTGCCGTGGGCCGCGCCGGAAGATGATGCGCCGTCGGACCGACATATATATATATATATACACATGTATATGTTTGTTTTTTTTTTGACCGCTGGTGTGTGTGTGTGTGTGTGTGTGTGTGTGTGTGTGTGTGTGTGTGTGTGTGTGTGTGTGTGTGTGTGTGTGTGTGTGTGTGTGTGTGTGTGTGTGTGTGTGTGTGTGTGTGTGTGTGTGTGTGTGTGTGTGTGTGTGTGTGTGTGTGTGTGTGTGTGTGTGTGTGTGTGTGTGTGTGTGTGTGTGTGTGTGTGTGTGTGTGTGTGTGTGTGTGTGTGTGTGTGTGTGTGTGTGTGTGTGTGTGTGTGTGTGTTGTGTGTGTGTGTGTGTGTGTGTGTGTGTGTGTGTGTGTGTGTGTGTGTGTGTGTGTGTGTGTGTGTGTGTGTGTGTGTGTGTGTGTGTGTGTGTGTGTGTGTGTGTGTGTGTGTGTGTGTGTGTGTGTGTGTGTGTGTGTGTGTGTGTGTGTGGGGACCAGGGTGCGCTCGGCCTATAACCACAGGAGTACTCCGGCCAGAAGGCTCCCCCCCCCCCAAGCGAGTACTCAAGCTGGCGAGGGTTGGATGGATCACTTGGCAAGACAGCCCACTTCTCAGACTCAAAGCTCTTCCCACCATGATCCCTCATGGAGGAGGTACTAAGCAAGGGATGCAAACTTGAAGAAGGGGCATAGCTAGAGCTACAATTAAATTAGAAGACCCTACAGGGTCGTCCGACACGCACGCACTCACGCACGCACCGCCAGCAAGCAAGGGGCAAACGGCACAGCTCGCCGAAGCCCCATCGGCTGGACACGTCACAAACAATATCCCCTTGGTGCGATGGGGCAGTGCCTAAAGCTGAAGGCACCACCCCGGGAGGGGGAGCATTTGTGCACATCGGCGTGTTCAGACCCGAGCTGAGGCGTTTTTGGCTTTTATAGACGGCACGCCGAAACCCGGCGTGAGAAGCTCGGCCGCCCAAAGCCGAGTGCATGAGAAGAAACCTAAACCCTGTCATGAGCCATGTCGGACGGCGCCGGATGGAGGGTTTGATTGAGGGTTGCCCGAAGCCCCACGCCCGAAGGATGCGGAGGCTCCGCCGGAGGCCCGATCCCCAGAGAACCCCAAGGGAGAGTGTCAGGGGGCTGTTCAGGGCTTGCTGCTTGGGGGGCTATTCTTCATTCATGTATTTGCATAAATACATAAACAAGTAAGAATGTGTGTATATATATAGTATGTATAATGTATATACATAGTATATCTGTAGGCTGTGCGTGGCCTTTTGAAGCTATTGGCGCTTTCTGATACGGCTAACGGCATCCAGGTTCTGCAAGAAGGAGCCACTGTTTTAGCAACCATGCCGCAGAGACCCCCCTTTTAACAAGCATACAAGTCGAACAACAAATGCGGGACTCTTCTTAAAATCCCTAAGCTTAGGGGAGGTTGAGGGATTTGTGACGGTCGGAGCTTGATTCGGAGGCCCCTGCGAAGGAAGTACCCTCCGGTGCGGAGGCCTCCGATGATGCCCCGGCCTTGGGCAGTGGGGTTTGACAGGCTTGACAGGGGGGCGCGGCAACCCAGCAAACAAGATGGAAGCTTTGGTTCACAGGTTCATGACTCCATGACGGTTGTTCTTTCTATACATCGACTCGTCCCTTCATGGCCAGTTGGCAAAGACTGTCGCGTTTTCATGGGCTCATAGGGGGCAATGGAGAACTATACCCTCAGTGAATTGGCCACGAATGAAAGGGTCCAGGTCAAGAACTGATCTCACATAGACGTCAGGCCTCCAACATTGACATGGCCAGTATGGCAGCCCTTCGCCCCACCCCAGGCCTCCGAGAACGACGCGCCGCCGGAAAGCAGCAGCGAGGAGGGAGACTCCGGCACCGTGGAGGAGGCACGCCCCTAGACAGTTCAAGACCGCTATCAGCATCTCACGGATGACTCAGGGTGTGGCTGCCGTATTGGGAACGAGTTGCCTGTTCTTGCACGATGCAGCTCCGCAAACGTGGTAAACGTGTAGGAACACGTAACCAAGCTCCCGAATGCCAGGACCCCGAGCAAACCCAGCCCTGTATAGACCTTCGTAGAGCAGCCCTGAGAATGCCCCCCGTATCCCTGAGAAAGGGCGGTTCAGGGTGTTACGAGTGCCAGGCTCCCAGTGAGCGTTCCGTGGAGGAGCCGAAGGCTGCTGGGTTTGCCCGGGAAAAATGTCTTTATGAGTCTTATTTGAGCAGGGCTTACTTGAGGGGTCAGTGACCCCGATTTCTCTGAGGGCTGGAACCTCCGAACCGGCAAGTTTGGGTGGCAGAAGCAGGGGTTCGGATGCAGGCCTGATGATGTGTTTGGCTTTGTTTCGTGATCAGGGGCGGGCATGAAACAGGGGGGTGGGGGCGGGAAGGGGTGACTTGATGCAGGCTTCAAGGTGTGGTCCGACTTCTTGAATCCTGTCCTAAACTCTTTGTGAAGCCTAGCCGGACCTAGACCTTGGCACAGATTGCGGATCACATGCTTGAGGTTCAGTTTGAAGATGCCTCCCCTACGTCTCAAGAAAGGCACTCGCAGCAAAGGCGTGATCATGTTCGATGAGGAACCAGCGTTCATGTATAACAAGGTCGAGCCGTTGTAGTTCAGAGCGGATATGGGCTCTAATAGGCGATGTCTCAAGCCTCCCATGAAGGCTTCTAAAGCCTGCACCTCACCCGACATCCGCTGCGAGACAGGAGCCAACCCAGCAGCAAGCTCCAGCGCACGCCAGCAACCGAGCGCTCTTGTTGGGATAGGGGAGTTCGTGTCGAGTTGAAGAGTCTAGGACCCTTCCTACGTCTGATGTGATGTGGTGGGACTGAGTGTTGGCCGCAGTGTCCAGTCAAGGATGTAGGGGAAGCGGGCGGTTTGTGGATGCTGGGAACAGGGGATTCGCGGACCTTGTGATTTTCGGGCCTCGGGCGCGAGAGTGGCGCGAGCCTCCGGAGTTTCTGGGGCGCTTAGACATGCAGACTCAGACAGGAAGCTCCATAAAGAGTTCCCGCACGCCACGTTCGCCCAACATGCGACATTTATCCTTAGAAAAGCCTGTGTCGAGCAGCCCGGATCGCCCCTCCCCCTCTCCCCCTGCCCTTCAGCACCACCTTCACATCATGCCAACAGCCCGAAGGCCCCCAAGAAAAGCCCGGAACTCTCCTGGAACGCCAGGTGAGGGCGCAGAGCCGAGAGAAGGTTCAGAGCCAGGCCAAGGGCTTGGTGCCGGGGGGGGGGAGTTTGATGGGCGTTTAGGTAGGCAGTCGGCGGAGTTTTCTCTAATGAACATGTCGATTTTTTAGGAGGCTTCACATTGGCTTTAGATCTCAAAGTGGCTTAGGGCAGCCCCGGCGGATCGTTTAGCCTTGGGAGCTCTCACGATACACCCGACAATTCTCCACCCCCAACTCCGGAAACCCGAAGCCCCAAAGTTCAGCCCCCAAGCCCCCATCCCGTCTGACAGGATCCGGCACCCGGGAGCCGGAGACTTGGAAGCAGGCTTAGAGGCTTACATGAAGGCGGACACAACTGGCTTCTGCACATCTCGGACCGCGGAATGCGGGCGTGCCCCCCCCAAACTTCGCATCCCTTTGTGCAGTTCGTCTGGGCTGCCAAGTCTTGCATTGAACTTCTTGAACACAAAGCCGCGCTGCAAAAGCCAGACGTCCAAGACTTTGTGCTTAGATGCAAGCATGCAGCAGACCTCACCTCGACCTGAAGCCCACAAGCGCATGTATTTCAGATGCTTTAGACGCCCCATCCCCTGTAAATCCCAGCGTGTTGGGATCTTTGGGTTGGGGTGGATAGGGGCATGCGGCTGATGCGCAGAGGTTTCCTCTCGGAGGACGGCTCGGCGGATGAAAGGCCCGGCCTCTGGGCGGAAGTTGTTGTTTTCCCCCTCCCCCCTCCCAGAACAGCGCAGAAGACATGGGGGTTTCCGAAATTAGGGGTACCTTCTGTCGGTCCTTATGATTTGGGAATCTTACTATTTGAGGATTTATATAATGGGTCCCTTATTGACGTAAAGCCCCGTATTGTGTATCACTTGGACACCCCCTTCAAGCCAGGCTGAAGGAAGAGCCCAAGGAGGAGCTACTCGCAGCAGTCGCGGCCAAGCCGCCAAGGAAGGCCCAGCCTCAGAAGGCGGGACATCTGTTGAGCGTGTAGCTACACTACATTACACTACGCTCCATCCCCAAATCATTCGTGACACCTAATGATCTATGACCTATAACCACAACAATGTATGTGATGGGGATTTTTGAAGTCCAGGTAGTGTGTGTGTGTGTGTGTGTGTGCAAGGTATGTCAATCTCAAGAGACTTGTTGACCGACCCGGGGGGTGGGAATTGAGATTTGGGAGCTCAATGTCTTGACAGTTTTGAAATGTCGAGGTTTGGAGGCTTGTAGTTTCGGCAACTGAGCTTCTAGACCTGAAGCGCTCTTCATCGTCCAAAGCCCATCCACATTAAGCCCTTGGAGCCACCTCCAGGCCGACAGAAGCAATGCAAACTCCGCCAGCACGGTGCTCGGAGTACTTCTGGCCGCTGCGCCAAACGCTGGTTCGTTGCGGTGCCAGTCAGCCCTAAGCATTCCTAAGCCCGATGAAGCCTGCAAGCGCCACAGGCCCCATAAGCCCTCCATGCCCCAGGTTTTCTCTCGGACGACGAGAGCACGACGGAAGCGCGGGGCCTCCCAGAATCGCCGGCATGGGACAATGAAGTGAAACTACAGGGTTGTAAAGTATGAAAGTTAGGAGTTTGGGAGGGTTTAGGGTTCAGCGGAACAAATCTACACACCTTTAACAAAAAGCATCCCAAAACACACATTTTTGGACCTGCAAGCGACGGATCAGAGGAGCTGCGCAGGCACCCTGAAGCTTCCCCAACTCGAGACGAAAATGGGGGGAGGAGAGAAGAGACAAAGCTCAACAAAAACGGAGAAAGCGCACCCTGAAGGCCCGCACCTCCTGCACCGGTTGCCAGTCGTGTACTGAAGCCGGCCAAAGGACCTGTTCGGAAGAGAATGTGACTTCGGTGTTCAGATTGCTGGGCGTTAATGTCAACCGTCTTATGCTGTCATGGTGCACCATTTGATTTGGCCACCTGCCCTGCACAAGGACGGGTCGGATGCGCCAGCGGTCTTGTGCCGCATTCAACAGCCTCATGCGTTCAAGATTTAAAGAGGGTTGAACAATGTTGAACATCGCTCATATACCCATGTCATTCGATATCAGTGCCAAGGAGACCGCTCGCGCCATCCAATTGGCGCTTTGTCAGAAGGATGGTTCCTGAATATGCTTGGCCCCCACACGTGATGGAACACTCGTATCCCAACATCCTTCTCGGAACCCTCCCTTTGATGAAGCGTCAATCTTCTAGTTTTGAACATGCCTGGGGCTGACAAAATGTCACCACCTGGGTCACCTGGAGTGAGCGGCGCCTGCGAAGGACAAGAAAGCTCAGTGACTCAGGGAAGAGTAGCCTGAATACAACACGGGGTCTGCCATTTTGGATGCCTTGATGCTCTGAAGATATTTTCTTGCCTTGCAGGTTTTGTTTGGTAACTCCAAGAACCTTAGAAAACCGAAACCTCGAACCCCGCCCTCGACGCTTTCTCCACTTCGTGCCAGACGATGGTTCCTTCGGGCGGCCACTCCAGTGCCAATGCCTGAGACGTCTGCATCTGGACTCTTCGATTTGGGGCTCAGTTATTGCCCAGCCGTCAAATGGCTTCCTTCCCCAAATTGAGCGGCCTGTCGTGCGAAGGTCTGTGGCCAGGGCTGTGACGCCACGCCGCTGCCCGCGCCGGTTCCCAGCCAAGGCATCTGTTTTTTTTGGGGGCTTCGGGTTTCGAGTTTCAGGTCTGAAGTCCGGGGTTTAAGCCCATCCTCGGCTAAAGATTTTAGAGCTCGTGTTCAAGTTCAAGTGTCTACCGGGTCAATCCCAGTCCTTTGGTGGTTTGGCGAATGACCCTGAAAGACATGTACTTGCGGCCTTCAAGCGGCCAAGCAAGGGTTGGTGGTTTGCAGGTTTTCACACGTGGTCCATGAGCACAAGGAAGCATCATAAACCATCATGAGCCTTTCAGTACCCACAAGTACATACGGGTGACTTTGCCGATAAAGCAGATGTGATTTCGATGCATCTGCGCTCACAGTCCTTGCTGCAAGTTGTTGGTTTCCTGTAGAACCGGGCACTTCGGCGAACGTGGTTCCGCGGGCTTTGGCAAGCACTGCGTCGCCCGGACATGCAGGGACATGGCTGGTGCACACACAGAGGCTCTCGGTCCCTGGCTTCAGCGGCGCAGGTCCAGGGCTTGCGGCGCATCGTTGCCGAGTCATCCCTAAGCGACGGGTGGGAGCCACTTTGTTCTGGAAATGAACGCCTGCAACAAAACAACGCGCTGATGAGTTGTCCGGACTTTCTCAAGAGCCGTCTTGTATGCCCACGAGATCGCTTTGCCCCCTCCCCGAACCCGCCCCGAGTCAACCCAAGCCCGGGCCCATGCCCCAACCGCCCGAGCCTGGACCCTCCGCCCGGAGCAGGCCTCTGTTCAAACCCGCCTAAACCTTGTTAAGTGCCGAATTCTTGATATTAATGCCCAAGCTCGGAAAGCCCCAAACCCTACACACTACATACCTAGCGCTTTGTCCCAAACCCTTCTCCGAAACCTACACCCTGAGACCCTCTAGCAACTCTAGCGCTTTGCGGCGCTAGCGCAGTACGGGCGCTCCCTTAAACCCGCAGCCCAAAGAACCAAACCCAAGACGCCAAACCCTAAATCCTTCCCGAAACCAAGCGCTAGCGCCGCACGGGCGCTTCCCTAAACCCCCAAAGTCTAAACCCAAGACTCCAAACCCTTTGAACCCTCCAAAACCCTTCCAAGACCCTCAAAGCATCTAAACCCACGACTCAATCCCTGAAGCCGCGCTCCTCATTCTAAGTTTAAGACTTTTTTTCGGACTCCTGAACCCTAAGCGCTAAGCCTGACCCACGCCCTAATCTCACCCGAGCACCCGGGCGAGATCCTGACATTGAAACAGCTCACCTAGCCGGAAAGAGTTGAGTCCGTCAACACCGTCGACCCCGTAAGATATCCCGAGACCCTCTCCTGAAAGGCGTCACCGAAGCACGCATCGCCGTGCTCACTGCTCGGCCCCGAGGGCTGGAAGGTCCGTCTTCGCATTTAAAAAGTTTAAAGCTTTTAACAGGGGTGCCACGAGTGCCGTGTGCCCATCGGTGCTTGTGTGTAAGTTGTTTGGGATCGTGACAAGAAGCCCCGCTCTGCAGCTGTGGTGCCCTTAGGCATCCGACAGGGCCACCCAGGGCATCTATGAGGACAAGTGGTGGACTTACAGCTTTTGGGTTTAGGGCTTCCGGCATGTTGTGGTTGAGGAGTTTCGGAGTTAGGTTCGGGGTGGTCTCGCCGTAGATGCTTAAGACACAAGGGCTTGCTTCAGGAAGCCCGGGGCATGATGGCACCCAAACCTACCTTAAGGCCCCCAGAGCCAGGGTAACTTTCCACACTGCAAGAACGCTTCCAAAACTTGAAGTTGAGGTCGGGCCCGGCAGTGGTGGAAGCGGCCACGGGCCCAATGGGAGGGGGGGGGGGGGTTTGGTTTGGGGGTGCCGGGGTTCACGGGTTTTTGAACCACTTTGAAACCTCTGGCGAACAGTGTGGACAAGCCTGAAGCCAGTTCGGGCCGGGCCTTCAGGGTGGCAGCACGGCAAGGTACGCAGTGCATGGTCTTTGGCTTCTTGGTGAAGCATCTTACCTTGCCCCAAATTTACAGTCTTACCTCACGTAGCTTGTGCCCACGCCAAAACCATCCCAAGCCCCAAGCCCCAAGAAAGGAATGGAACCACAGACCTTCTTGATCCTTCTTGGCCGTGCGAGGTCAATCTCTTCGCTGAGCGCAGCGGCGTGCTGCAGCCCAGGCAGAAGGGGGTCTGTCAGTCCACTCAGTCATCCCACAGTCCAGATGGAGCCCTCAACCCCCTGAATTCTGCAAACTGTGATGCGGCTTGAATCTTCTGCTTCTAGCAATGATTCGCCTGGGGAGATTTACCCCACTGCCCTACGTCCGGAATCCTTCATCTGCAGAGCTTTGCAGAGCTTCGGGCCTAAATCCCTGGCAATGCGGGTGTTCTTGAGCGCTAGAACCGTGACTCTAAACCCTGTCCACCTCACGCCCAAGTGCCCAAGTGCCTTGTGCAGTTTTGTGGAGCAGAAGATTGTGCCAGACAACGAGGATACCATCTTTCAGCACAGACCTCGGTGACCCAGTCCGCGATGTGCTTGCGCAGCTCGAGATGATGACTTCACTGGGGAAGCTGGGGCACTCCGAAGTTTGAGGTCATAGCTACCCATGAGCTTTACAAGTAACCTGAGGAGCGCCCTAAGACCATCCCAAGACCACCCACTGGGCATGACACCCGTCCCAAACCAACCCAAGACCTTGAAAGGAAAAACGTCCGACCTGGGCAAGCCGTATGGACTCGAACGGTCGGCGTCCGTTGATCCCAAGAAGACTGTGGAAAGATCGCCTGAAACCCTATCATCTATAAACCCTGTGTGTGCGTCACACCCTACGCACCTCCTAAACCCAAGAAAGCTTCAAACCTCGGATCCCGAAGTCCCCAAAGCCCTCTGAGCCCTCTGAGCCTTTCAAACCCGTTCTTGTCCAAAAGCCATGGCCACGGGCTCCCGGGCCTGGAGGCCTCGACCGCCAGGAGCCCAAGCTTCTTTGCCGGGAGGGGAGGGTTGTTGGGGTCTTGTGTAGGGGTGGCTTTGGGTTTGAGGCCACTGTTGCAAATGTCTCTCGTTCAGTGCATAGCGAAACTTCATGAGTCAAAGTTCCAACCGACACGAGCTCGAGAAAACCGCCTTTGGCGGCGTGGGCCAGGTAAGTGCTAAACACTCTGGCCCCTTCTAGAAGTTGAAACACACCCTCAGTTGTACATAAGGGCTGTATTTGCTCGAACATGTTAGAGAAACTTTTCATTTTTCATCACATCTATTTGTGAGATCCGCTCTGGAAGTGGGAACTGGCCGGGGCGGGTAATTTGCCGGATGCTTTGCAGGATGCCCTAACCTCTCAGCCAGAACGAAGATTGGCTGTCCCGCGGCCGTGTCAAACTTGTCACACACACAATGGGACAGGTGAGACACGTGTGGTGAAGTGCACTCCTACCCCGTTCAGTTAGACGCAAAGCCAGCCAAAAAACTCCATAGCATTTTAGGTCACGTTGAGTTAACATTGAATTAGAGATTGCTAAAATGTTGTATACGGCCGGTGAGCAGTTGTCCTGCCAAATTGTCAAATGGGCTTTGGGGGGTTTGAGGGTTTGGAATGACCTTTAACACGTTCCACCTTGATTAGTTGTGTTGTCTCTACTCAAGGGTTGTTCAAAGACCGGCTGGTTCACACAGTCCAATCCATGCCTTTGAAGGACCAAAGGTCCGAAACCCTCGCACCGTGTGACTGTTCCGTTATTTGTTGCTCTTTACCCAATAATGCCTACAAGCCTTAAACCCTCTTTGGGAGTCAGGTCCGAGCGTCATCGCATGTGGCAGGTGCCTTCTTCCGGGGACCATCCTATTCTTGGGGTTCCCAGCTTGGAGGTTCCCATCGTTTTCCCCAAATGTGATCTACAACCCCAGAGACCAGCTTGCCCATCTCCCTGAGCATTTCCGGGTCATTCCAAGAGGTTTCACTAGAAAGGCTACTGTACGGGGCCCCTTCATTTGTTGTTTTCAGAGCTTTGAGTTGATGCTATTGGGGTTCAGGGCTAACTTAGAGCGTGGAGAAAATTGGTTGGCCATCCAAGTACTGCAGCTGTTCACAGCAATGAAAGGGGTGGACCCGCATGTCAAACTAGCTCATCCTTTCCGACTGACGCCCGCTACCGCCTTCCTGTATCAGGCTGGCTTCGCCCGCCGGCGCTTGGAGCGACAGGTGGGAGTGGTTCGGTATTCCTGTTGTCTTCCAGGGTTAGGGTCTAGGAAGTTTAGGGCAAGTCATTGCGTTTCTTTTGGCTCTTACATCTTCAACAGAGTAGACATGTTTGAAGGTGCGGATATGGAGACTCAAAACCTTGGGTCCGTGAGGCCTGCCCAATCCTTGCAAAGCCTCTCACAGGCCTCACTTGCCCAGAATCCTATGCACCCCAAGCTCGAAGAAATCTAGCGGCGGCGACCTGCATCACAAACTCTGCCGAAAGACCGAAAGACTGCTTGGTCAAGTTTAGCATTGTACATACTACAATGAGCATGTTGTTTATCGCGGCAACAAACACTTTCCCAATCTTGGCCGGAGCTTTCTTAGTTTGCCCACCACCGTTGCTGTCAGTCCTTCAGGCTATTTAAGGCTTCAGGGCAGCACGTCAAACATCAAGAGGCAATCTCGAAGGTGATTGTCAAAATTGTCTTCGGCTGTTTGGGTGGACAGATCTCCTTATATTGTTGGTTTGCAGCAGCAGCTGCAAAACAGGTATGCGTTGTAACGTTTTTTTGGGGTACCTTTGCCAGAACGCCTGGCAGGGTTGTCTGATTTGCACATGTCTCCGGGCCGAGGCCCCATCGTCACGAAGATGTTTCATCGTTTAGAAACTTCTAACCTCTCAAAGATTTCTCAAAGTGCAGGCCAATAGAGCGAGTTCGAGACTCCGGTGCATGCGTGGGGCCGGGTTAAAGCCTGTCCCTACTTCCTCTGAACCCTAAGGCCTTGATTTACTGGACACATTTGGGAATTCATTATGTATCAAGTACCAGGACGCGTCAGGCAGGCGGGCGGGGGTGGTTCAGAGCAGTTGACTTCAGGGTCCGTAGGACGAAAGCATGCCAGGAGATGTCTCCCGTTGCGACGGAAGGGCAGATGGTGGCTGCTGATTCAGGTGCTCTCAGAGTCTCCAGCGGGTCAGGGGGCCTCCTTGCATTGTAGCGACAAGTTTCATGTTCATTGCTGACAGGGCTTCTACGCCCGTTGAGGTGTTCGGCGTCATAAGGCTTTGAGGATGCCGAATGAAGCCCTAGAAACAGTTTCCTCAAGCCCAAGAAGCTTCTTCAACCTCTCCTTCTCCTTGCGCTATCCCGTAGCATCTAAAGCCCTGATCCCTAGAGTCCCTAGAGCGCACGCCCAAAGAGGCCCCCCAGCTTCCCACATCGAGGTCACCCATGCTGAGTACTTTGGGCATTCTCACTCAGATCATCTTGAAGGAGGAACCCTCGGTTCCTCCTGAGCCCCTTTAAAGCAGAGCTAGCATTGAAGAGCCCCTGAGACCTACCCCGCAAGTGGGAGAAAGCCGTCTCAAACCTGGGCCTTAGAGGGATTAGATGGGATTCGTTGTGCTACGGAGGGTTGCGGGGAGTTTTCTTGAGGTGCAGACCACGGTTTCAGCGACAACTTCTTCGAGACATCGTGCCCGTGCTGTAATCTCAAGATCCGAGAAGCGCTGGGTTTGAGAGAGGCAAGGGGCCCCGAAGCACGTCGACGCACCAAAGTAGAAGACCTCCGAAGTGTGTTCAAGCACTCAGACATTCTCCAAACTGTATTGGGATAGAAGTGGCCTACTACCACACTGTAGCCGACGAGCTGCGCATGACAACATCAACAACTGAACTTAACAACAACCCATGTACCGTACTGCAGCCCATGACGCTGGCCCGCGTTCTAAGCATCCCTATATATACAGCACTCTTAGCTTTCAAACCTGAACCCTGAGCATTAGGCAACTAACCTTAGGCTACACTCATTCAGACCCTCTGAACCGCAAGTCGTCCCACACTCCCGTCTAAGCCACAACCGCAAACCGCGGTTCCGAAACGCCCTAAACCGCCCTAAGCCCCAAACCTCAAATGGCAACACAGGCTCCGCGCTTACGCCGAGCGCCAGCAAGCGCGCCTCTGGCCAGCGCTGCCGGCTGCCTCGAGTGCTCCGCTGCTTGAGAGGCGGGTAGGATTTTGGGGCTTACAGGGTCTTAGGATGTCTTAGGGGTTGAGGCTTGTGGGCAGAAGCTTGAGGGCGCTTTCAGTGCATCTTCCTTGAAGTGTAGGACGCGTATATCGCATCTTCGAATCATGTAGGGAATTTTTGGGAGATCGGAGTTCTTCTTCCGCCATCTCGTCATGTAAGGGTTTAGGAGATTCAGGTGCCCCCCCCTTTTTTGATGCCTTGAATTGCCCGAGTTCCACACTGAGCCCGAAACTTCAGATCCCAGGCTCTCAAACCTGGATCGTAACAAAAGCCATACAAAAGCCTATCAGAAAACCCTCTGAGATCCCTTTTTAAAACTCTATAAAGTTCTGCAGCACATGAGGCGGGCAGGGCTTGCGGGCCGCGGCACCAGCATTGAGCCCAGGCCAGGGAGAGAAGGGAGGTGCGTTGAGGAGTTTTAGGGGGTCGAGGAAGTCGAGGGAGTCGAGGGAGTCGAGGGAGTCGAGGGGGTCTAGGATCTCAAGTGCCAAAACTTGATATGTACTCGGCGCTCTCTGCCAATGACCCGCCTCTGTCTGCACAGCATGTTGTTTTGACAGCGGCACGCAGTCCAGGACGCCCAATCGACCTCCAAAGTGGGGGCAGCTTCATTCGCCGCCAAAGCACTCTGGGCGCCGCGCCAGCTGCATCCTAGACCCCGAACCCTGGAGCGCGTATAAACGAATAGCTGTTCTGTGATTTGCGACGTTTCGGATTGAGGAAGGGTGTTCCCTCAAAAAACCTCGAGAACAGCGCCTTGCAGACGGGTTCTGTTGGGAGGACATTGTGCAACACTACCGGTTGCAGGTACATAGCACGGAAAGGCCCTGAAAGTAGGAAAGCCGCTCCCAGGCCCTGTGGGTGGGATCCGCGGACGGGGCCGGGGTGGGGGGAGGGGGGTGGGGGTTGGAGGTGGCCAGGGTTGTTTAGGGGTTTGTGCCTCGCCGCCGGGCGATCCACAGAAAACCAATGTGTGCAGCGGGTACGTACCTCTACTACGAACAAAGTTGTAGTTGGATCCAATTTCCTTACGGGGCAGGACTAGGGAAAGAAGATTCTCGACTCCCAATCACAGCGCTAGGTGAAGTTGCAAGTTGCTGGGTCCAGAACCATGACGGGCATCCTTACAACCTGCCAGCCACAAAACATTCAGAGCTGTTCAGCATGCAATGCATGCACACTTCAGACCCTAGCTCGGTTTCCCAGTTCGGACACATGCAATCCCTTGTTCTCGGTTCAATGGTCTTTTAAAGGGAGCCTGTGCCTCCCACGGAGGAGAAACGCTCACCACTGGGGTTTCTAGCTGCTAAGCGCTTTAGGCCCCCAATCGGCAACCGCTGCCAACTCGTGCAACTCCAAGGCAGACGCATTGCAGAAGCTCGCTGGCAGGTTCAGGACCACATCGGCCTAGACTGTCTCATCCTACCTCTACTGCGTGCCTCGAAAATAGCCAAGGTTAGGGGTTGTACCCTTGTTTTTCGGGGGGGGGGGGGGGGGGGGGGGGGGAGGTAAGCTCCCTTATTAGGAGCCACAATTAAGCACAGAAGGGCTTTGTCACTTAAGCAGCTTACTTGGGAACGTAGAAGCCGCTGAAGCCTGTGTATTGCAGTATTAGTACAGTATGGGTCCGAAACCCAGCACCAAGCACCAAGATTTCGGGGCTTTCGGGCTTGACGCAATGCGTAGGCTGGTCTTGGCTCTCTGCGAAATCGTGATTAGCTGAGAAACTAAAACTCTCAATTCCAAGCTCCCCTTCAGGAAGAGGATGCCTGTCGCCGCTGGTCACCCCGCTCTGATGAAGAGGCAGCTCTTATGTGGGGCACTTTGCACCTGCCGGTTTCAAAGCTGGGGCTCAGCACGTTGGCTTGACTGAGGTCGGGAGTTTCCGGTGTTGAGAATTAAGGAGATACAGTACCGAACGGTTAGACGCATCCTGAACAAGTCCGCTTTCTTGCTGTGTTCTGAGATTCTTGAACACAGGCACGCCCCTGCACCCTAGAGCCCAACATTGCAGACTCCAAAACCCACAGCTGTGCAAACCCCTAACCCTCCTGTAACAAGCCGAAGCCTGTGCGTTGTGGCCCCAAACTCCCGAGTAACAAATGATGATAGGACTGGGCCGGCCCAGTCCCGAACTTCCGCAGACGGGAGTTGAAGTTCTCCAAGATCCCGAACCTAAGAATTGCCCAACTCAGCAAGGGCCGATATGGCCGATCGCCACCGGCAGGCGACCTGCCAGCGATTGTATTCAGTAGGTGCTTTGGGGCGTAAAGTGTTAGCTTCCAGAGTCTATGGTGTGTTTTCAAGCTATGTTGTCGGGCTCGCCGTTGCAACAGCAACTTGCCGCTTTCTCAAGTCTCGTCCTTGGACATGAGAGGGCCTGTTGAGTTTCTTTGTTCCCATCCCCTCCTCGTAAGCTTAGAGCTCCTCTTTGTTCAGAACTGTGGATTGCGATTACCGGGCTGGTGGAGCAGGTCCTTTGCAGGGCTTCAACCATAAGCTTTGCAGACGTAGAAATCCTGCAGCAGAAGAGATGGCGTTTGGACCCCCCCTCAGCTTTCGAGAAAAACTTGCAAGGCTGGCCGAGAAAGCGGCTGCGAAGCGAAGAGAGTGCCTTGGGCGGAAGCGGCAGTGGCCCACGTGGGTTGAGGATGGTTTCAGGTTTCGCGGCGAAACTCGCGAGTCTCTGACCATGGTAGGCAGGAATGCGCATGCAAAAGGCTTCGGTGTCTGGGGAACGATCTCTAGGCCAGAGCCTGCACCCTACTCCCAGGCAGAGCAACATCAGGGTTCGAGGGGTTCTGACCTCCATCTAAATTCCAGCCCCAAAGCCCAGTTCCAAGGAAGTCCTTCGCGAGACCTTTGGACTCCGGTTGCATGCGCCGCTCGAAGGCCGACGGAAGACAGGGGAGGTCGGTTGCGGAAGCTTAAGCAAAGGCCCCAGAACTCAGCAAAGGCTCTGTTCGGGGATTGAAACCTGTATTTTGGGGGAGCCCAGGACCTGGGGACTTGGGGCTTAGCCCTCTGCTCTACTGCCCTGGAGCATCTGGAGCTTTGCAAGGGGATCCAAGCTCTGCGGCCCTGCAGGACGCCTCCCTCCCGTGTGGCCCCCAGCTTCGAGGGTGCACCGCGGCCTGCAGCTGCCGCGCCGGCCTGTTTGCGTGTTTTTGTTTTCTATTTCGGGGAAGTGAGGGGTAGGGTTTGGGCCGGGTTTAGGCTTTTAAAAGTGGTCTGTGGCTTTCTTGCGGATGTTGAGGCAGTTGGGGATTCGGGATGGCTCACCACCACTACTACAGGAGAAGCCTCTGGGCCCACAGCCTCCCACATAGACCCCAGGATTTGGGGTGAGCCGAGCCCCGAACAATAAACGGGATCAGGGTCCGGGGACCTAAGCCCATTAAGCCCCAAACCTGGACTGCAAGCGCTGGAACCAGCAGGGCGGCGCCTGCGCGGACCTCTTCACGCCACCGCGCCGCATCGCAAAAGCCGGGGCTGCAAGAGTCCTGTTTTGCTTTGGGGGGGGAAGGGGAGGTTTTCGGGAGTTTAGGTTTGACAGGGCTTGGGTGGAGTTTAGGCAAAGCGGGGGTGACCTTAAAACCCACCAAATATGGGGCAGCAGAAGAGGAGCCCGAAACGTTAAGACACGGACAAATAAGCACTATAGAGTGAATCTGAGGAGGTCCTAGGCCCATCCAGATCGCCCTCACACATTTCTGCAGACGTCAAGGAAGCTTCGTTCGATTTTTTCCCCGCTCGGTTTTCGTCTTTGTGTTTTTTTGGGCCAGGGTGGCGTGTAGGGGAGTCTCGGGAGGCCTTTGTGAGGCCCCGGACGGGCCCGCCGCAGAGCTTGCGGAGCTCCCGCCGCGACTTCGGAAGGCCTGGGGAGAAGCCCCCACTTTCTGCGGCATCATTGTGGGGTTCCCCTCAGCCTTTTCAGGAGTCGTTTCAAAGGTCTTGTGGGGATGAAGGAAGGCAGCCTAAGTTGGAAACGCTCAAAACAGGGAAACGCACAACATCACACAACTGGTCCTTGGATTTTGGGCCTGGCTGCTGTTCTCAAAAACATGCCGCTCGTTGCGTTGTTTTGAACCTGCACCATTCCATATCCTGCCATGTTAAAGCCTGAAGGGCCTGAGCTGCAGGCGGGAGGAAGCGAACATCCCGCGCTCGGGCACCATTGTCTTCGAGGGAAACCCGTTTCGGAAGCTTGGCATGGAACTTCCTTCGTTTGAGCCGTCTTGTGGCAGACCAGAGCTAGCATCAGAAGCAAGGTCGCGTCCCAGTCACTCCCTGTTTGCCTGCAGCGAAAACGTTGTGTATGAAAGCGGTTTGCCAAGGGTAGGGTACCCTTATGTTCACGAGGGGGTTTGAGCTAGGGTACTCTTCTGTAAGTTTCTTAGCCGGTTTGGCTGCTCTGTTACGCCTTGAAGATGAAGTTCGGAAAAAACAGTGTCACTTGAGATGACAAGAACTGAACATAAGCGCAAGGGGTATTGTGCTGCAAGGCCATAATTGTAGTTGCAAAGGAGTGTCGATCGCCTGGAAGTGTCTGCACACCCAGCATCCAGCTAGGACACCTGCAGCATCCTGCAGCCCGTTGCAATGAAGCTTTAGCCTTTCAGGTTTGGGGGGTCCGGTCGCCCACCCAAAGCCAAGAGTCCATCCTGCCACTAGGACGGTGCGGCGGCGACTCCTCGATGATTGGGACGAGGCGGATGCACGGCAGTCAGTCATCTTTTGCCCTGAGTGCTATTCTTCTCAACTCGCCCCGAACGCCCCAACCTCTGGTAAGCCCGTTTCGCCGTGCTTCAAGCAGGGTTCTTGACATCATGATTCTGTTTTTTTGGGACGTAGGGCCTCTTGGCCATCGACCCCTGCTCTACATCTCTACGCATGCGCTTGAAGCTTCGGACAGGAGGAGGAAGCCGAAACCGCGCCGAAGATTGAGGAAGTGCCGGATTCACCCGAGGCGCCGGGAGCTTTTGCTGGAGGGGACTGTCAGGATTGAGGCGTTTAGGGCGAAGGGCCCTTGTGCAAGCCTTGAAGCCCGTAGGCTTTGAGCCCTCAACCTACCGCTAGGATGCCCAGTAGGCGTCAGTGCCGGCACGCGTCTTCCCCTGCTTACACTTTTTTTCGTTCTCATTCGTTTCTGAGCGTAGACTGCCTGCCAATGCGCATGCCAACCAAAAGTTGTGGTGTCTCCCTGAAGGCGCATACTGACATGGCCGGGGTTTTGTCTTTTTTCTTTTCCCTTAATCCTGTAGCCTTCGTAGCTTAAAGCACTTGCATGGAGACTTGAAGCTCATGTCGCTGATGCCTGGAGGCGTCGGGGCCCTTGGCAATTGAGTTCCTTCACGCCAGCGGCTAGCAGCAGTGATGTGCGGAGCTGGGAAGAAAGCTTCGCGAGTGGCAGTAAGAGTTCTCTCTCGAGCTTGTTGGCGCAGCACATACGTTTCGAGGGAGCTGCTCATCCGTTGCAGGTGGCTTCGGCAGACAGGATCAAAATCAAGGGGTCCAGGTTGTGTGGAGAAGGACAACGGCGAGGTGCAGCTTCACTTGCGAATATCATCGTGCTACGTGCAACGGGTCGAGGAGAGCAGCGGAGAGCCATCTCGCTGCCCCTAAGATAGACACAATTCGGACACACGTCGTTGTGCCAGCCTCGGCCGCTGTCCCCAACTGCCCCGGGCTAACAAGAAGAGTTCAGAGCCTGAGTCTCAGGGTTTTGGAAGCGGCTTAGGACCTTAGGATCCCAGCCCTCCTACAAACAGTTGCAGGTTTCTGCGACTTAGCAGCGATAGCAGGGATGGTTGCAGTGGCAGAAGCCACGGCCGCCAGGCGGATATGGTCCTCCTCAGGGCTTAGTCACATCTAGTCACATCTAGTCACCGTGTTTCCGGCTGCTCAAGGTTCATGGGGGAACGCCATGCCCTCACCCTACACCTTTCACAAATTCCGTGGGCACGGCAGAGAGGTGGCAGAGGCATGGCCTCTAATGCATGTTGTGCAGTCTGCGAGGATTGGGGCTTCGGAAATTTACAGGGCCCGAAGCAGCCCTTAACCCAAACCTGCCGGCCTACCCCATAGCCATAGCCCCACCCAAAACCCTTACACCTTCCTCCTGAGAGCTTCAGGGGCCCCTAGCCTCCAGTCCGCGACCCGTGGAATTCAGAAAAACAGGGGAGCGCCCAAGCCGGGGATTCGGCCTCAGCTTCAGACTTGCAGGCTAAGTCTTAAGTGGTGTCCATGCCCTCGGTTTTCGGATGTTGGAGGAGTTCAACCGGCATCCTAGCTGGCTTGGCCTGACTCGCTTCCAGACTCAATCAACAGGCGCGGCAAGGTGGTTCTGCTGGAAAAGTGCAGATTTGATTATTTACTTCAGTGGCTCTCAACGATGACCTGCGTTGTGCACTCTAGCAACGGCTGCATGACTGCTCTGTCTTTTTTGCCAGATTTGTTGTGGGCTTGTAGGCTTGTAGGCTTGTAGGCTTGCAGTGTTTCCGTCAGCTGTTCTACATTTGTTGCGATATCTTCCCGGAGACCCTTGGTATCTGAGCTGCAGTTGGGCTGAAGATGCTGAAGTCAGCAGCTCAACATGCAAAGATCCAAAGGGCCTAGTTGGCCTCCAGCCCTAAGTCCTGAACCTTAATGCCCCAAGTGCCAGCACCCAAGAGACTTGGGATTCGGCCGAGGGCACTGAAGTGCTGGAGTGAGGCCAAGGCGCAGGGCGTTGCAATTCAGGGTTTTGGGATGTTCTTCGGAAGTTCTTAGGAAGTTCTGATGAGCCTACAAGACGCTTCGGGGATAGGCGTCCGGTCTCGGCAAGATGGCACTGCCGGAAGCCTCCGCCCCTCTTGCCCCGGGATCGCAGACCCGCCTGCTTTCAAAAAGCAAGCAAACGCAAAGTGCCCCGATTTAGAGGGTCGCACGGCATACCCGAAGGCCCCTAAGACACAGGCTTGCCAAACTGAATGGATAGGACCCAGCCTTACATTATAACAGGTTATGCACTTTCACAGTCGTATCGTGCGAGACCATTCGCCGTGCAGGTTTGTTGTCGAGGTATAGAATAGAATGCATAAGTAATGCATACAACACCGAACCTCCAATGCTGCCGCAGCTGCATCAACCCACAGGCGTGCGATGTGATCTTCACCACTGGTGGCACGGGCTTTGGGCCTCGTGATGTGACGCCAGAGGCGATGGGGTGTAATGCATGTGGGGTTCTGACATCCCACTCGATGCTGCGAAGGCTTCCCCCCCCACGCAACGGTTTGTTTCAATAATAAGCAACCGTTGAAGAGTTTACGAGGCCTTTATCGGTGGCGTTGTCACGACAGCTTGCTGAGACTCGACACACGAGACGGGTGCACAGCACAACACGTGAGATTCCCATCAGGCTGTTACCCAGGCCAGTCCCTTCCCCGGTCGACCTACTGAGAACCTACACTACAAGACCGACCACGAGACCATCCCAAGACTAAAGCCTGATTGAGTGCCCTCGCCGAGACAGGCTACCTCGCGCGCCATCGAGCGGCCAGCGGAGGGCCTTTCCAGAGCCATGGCCAGGGACCCAGCACATTGCCTCGCTTTGTTCCCCTTGCTTTCAAACACGCGAGCGGTATACATAGAACATGTCAAGACAACCTTGGGGAATCTTGGGGTTGCGTCTAGGCTGAGGCCTGGACACTCCCAGCCTCAGGCCCAAACCATAGCTCCAAGTGACCCTTAAAACCTAAAACCCCGTCGAAATCCCCCCATCCCCCCCAAGCTGCACATGAAAGGCTTGGCAGACGTCGCCTCTCGGGCTTCAATTGGGCATGAACCACGCAATTCGCATGGGCACGAGTGCAGCATGGCGGGGTCGTACAGTCGCTCCCAGAGTCTGATTACCGGCAGGGTTTTCGTGATGTGTCGAGAGTTGGTGTCGGATTTGCAGTCGGGTGGAGGAGTCGCTTGTTTTCTTGAGTTGTCGGCCCTTTCAGCGCCCCCAGCGGCCCCACATGTGGCGGACAAAAAAGCAAGCAAGAGAGACAGACAAAGACGAGTGGAATGAAGCCTGGATTGAGGTTAAGGCTGCAGAGCCCGATTTCTTCTGGATTCTGGCCATGTAACATCGAAGGCCGCTAAGCCAACGAGGATTGCGGGGCAAACGAGCGCCAGGTTCCAGGAACCTCGCAGCGTACTCTCCAGAGGCATCTGTGGCATCACCAGCGACAAGGCCCAAGGGGCTAACGGCATCCCCTGTGTTCCCATGTGCTCCACCTAGAGTCCTAGAACCCAAAGAGACCTTGAAGCCCAGACCTAGGAAGAGGGCAAGAAAAGAGAGACAGTTGGCGTCAAAAGAGCAATACACCCATATATAAACCCCAGACTTGGGAGAGGTCCTGGTCATCAACCTCCCGGGACATCCGAACGCGGCCGCTCGCCGTGAACGCACTCGCTGGTTGAGGGTTTACCACGTCTTTGCCTGGATTCAGTTTAGTACACACAGCCCAATCAGGAACAGCCCGTAAGACTTGAAACCCAATGAAACACAACTTTAGAAGTTCGTACTAGTTTTGTTCGAAGTTTTCGGGGTGCACTGGTCGGCTACCAAGCGAGAACACTCGAAAGGCATGCGTATGGTGTGTGCGTGCAGATAAATTCCGCACGCAAATGTATCGATCTGTCCATCTGCCAGACTGTACGTACATTGCTTGTCGCCTTTATGCGCACACATTTCCAAAACCATTTCAGGGCTGCCTCAAGGGTTTGGGCAGCTGGGGCATAGCAGTGGGCTTGAGGCAGAACCCAGGCATGTTTGGGGTTGAAATGTTTCGGGGTGCAAGGTTCAGAGTTCAGTTCTCGCAAGGAGCTGCAGAGAGCCATTCTACTGATTACGACCTCTGTGAGAAGCGTAGCTAAGATACTTATGGGTTTATGCCCTCGATATTCGAGCCTGAATGACGGGTGCTCGGCCTGGGTTGGGTGATTTTCTTTTTGCTGAGGCGGCTGAGGCGGCTTGGAACTAACGCTGACAGAAGTGACAGAAGACTTGCTGAATGCAAGACAAACCTGAAACTCTACTGTAAGACCTTGCCCGAATCGTGGCCTCACGCATCCGTTCTCCATCCTAGGTACGCCAGTGTCTTTCGGTCCTGCTGCCTGTGCTCCCACATGCCGTGCGAATGGCGGCGGGCTTGGAACAAGGTACGGGTTCTTGGGTTACAGTCCCCCCGCCCCTCCGCCCTCCAACCTCGAAATGCGGACCCTATGACTATCATATATGACTACAACAATGGTAAGGCCTTCTTTTCGGGGGGTTGGGGCCTCTGCCTATCAACAGCCTCGTGAAGACATCTCATTTGATATGTCAACATGCTTCTTATGCCGCGATGTACCTCTCTCCCTCTCGCTGAGGTGAGGGCATAGCCTGACGTCGCCAGAGCGCCTGGCAGTCGAAAAATGGACGTTCAGAAATGGCCCCTCAGCAAGGGCATCGCCCACGGGCTGTTGCCCTCCATTGAATCCCTGGGAATAGTTGAATAATTCCTGGGGTTGTTGCGAAGGCACTTCGGAGCTAAATGCATTCCACTGATTTCCCTGCAGGCGCATAAACAGGGCTCCCAAGGGCCACGCAGGTGTGCTGAACGACTGCCCAACGCCAAATCCCTGAGGAACATAGACATAAACGCTGTCGCGCCACTTCCCGACCGCCAGAATTTGGTCCGAGCCAGACAATTATTTAACATCTGCCTAGGTGGCTTTTGACTGGCAAAAGGCCTCAGGATTTTCCTTTTTCCTGGACGATTTTCGTCAAACATGTCCAGCAGCCGCCGCCTCAGCTGGCACACTGTTTCCCCAGCATCCTCCTAGGCCCAAAAGCCCTCAAGCACAAGCCACACGCATGTCATGTCATGCACGCAGCCTCGCTTCCTAGTTCTGCTGCCTCGAAGTTGAATCCTAATTGTCCCAGCAGTGCGGCGTCAAGAAGAAGGGACACTGTCGTTCCTGCGCTGGAGGGGCATGTTATGTGGCGTTTTGAGGCTCAGCCTTCAGACGAAGCCTTACCCTAACCGGCCCTAACCCCGACTCCGAGAAGGTCAGAAAGTCATGGCCGCAGCTGCTCTGTCCGCTGCTGCGATCACGGCAAAGGAGGCAAGATGAGGGTTTTGGGATTTTAGGAGCAGTCTTGGATTCCTAAACCCAAAGCCCAAAGCCTTAAGCCGCCCACCTTCAGAGGGCGGGCGGAACCCTGTAGACTCATAGCCTTTCTCCCACCCCCCCTAAACTCTAGCGGCACAGGCGTTCGTGAGCGCCAGGGCAGGGACCCAGGTCACGGCGCAGGCCTGGGGAGGGCTCGAGGTGCTGGGCTGAATCGACTCC